ACCCCGCGTGGGATCTATTTCAGTGTCAGCGCCTTGGGTAAAAGTCCCCAGACCCTGACCACTCTCTGGTGGACTCAAGATGAGGGCCTTCCCTGCAGACAAAAGGACCATGCCGTGGAGTGCTGACTGTGGCCGTGGGAGGGGGGCGTGGAATGCTCGCTGCAAAAATAAAACATAAAATTGGGAAAAAAATTTCTAAAAATATTTCAAGGCTTTTGAAATTGACCAAAGGCAGACACATTAAAAAGCATTTATTCTTGGGAAAAACCACTAAAGCTTCAGTAAGAGCAGTGGGAGCCTGCAGACTTCTTGCCTGGGGCTGTTCCCTATCTTGCCTTCTCTCTGTTGGTAAGAAAACTTGTTTCATCAGCTCAGGGCTTTGCTCCAGGGGGGCAAACCTGATCACGTGTGTTTGGTGGGGCGGGAGGCTGTGGGGGGTACCGGGGCTGGTAGTCCTGTAACTTTTCTATCAGCTGAAAGTGGCAACCTTGGTGAGAAATGAAAGGGAAAACCCACAGCTTACTCGCCTGAGGTTTCAGGCAAGCAGCAGACTAACCGTAACTTTAACAGGGAGACTGGAAATGAGAGTGCAGAAGGACTAGATAGGCTCTCAGCACATTCTTGCTGACTGGGAGACTCCAGAAAGCCCAGCAGAAAGTAAAAGCCCAGGCAGACTTGAGAAGTGGGTGAGCTGTGAATGAACTTCCCAGTGCACGGGCAGACGCATAGCCCAGGTATCTAAGCACAATATCTCTCCCAATTGGCTGGCAGCTAAGTTAAGGAGACACAGGAAGCCAAGTTAAAAACAGAATTATATAGCAATTTAGGAAATACATAAATATTTTTTACTATATAGCAACGTTGTAAAGAATCTGAACAGAGTACCAACTATGTGAAATTGGATTCTAGAAGGAGAGGAGAGAAAGAAAAACCAGAAAAAACATTTATTTGAATTAGTGGCTAAAAACTTTTAATGTGTTGAAGGACATTAATCTACAGTTCTAACTCTTAATCCCAGTAGGATAATCACAAAGAAATCCAGAAGTAGACGCATCATAAACTGCTGGAAACCAATGGGAACGTTTTAAAAACAGCAAGAGAGTGTACAGGAGAGTGACAGTATGATTAGTGGAAACAGTGAAAGCCACAGCCACTGAAATGAGATGCTCAAGATGCTGAAAGAAAAACGGTCAACCAAGGATTTTTTATCCAGCAAAACCATCCTTCAAAACTGCGGGCAAAATAAAGACTTTCCCAGATTAAAAAATAAAACTAAGTAATAGTGCTAGCAGACCTGCTCTGTAAGAGATACTGCAAATCTCACTGGTCGGCCCCGTGGAACCAAGCTCAGACTGAGGCCCATTGTTCCCAGCCATTGTATCAAGCTGCTCGGGTGGCGGAGGAGATGATACTTTTAATAAGATGTGCTGGTGCACCCTATTTAGGGCACCCTGAAGGGGTGTAGAACAGAGATAATAACCATGGGAAAGACGATAAAACACCTGAGAAGATGTGTATTTGGATCAGGAAGATAGATATGCCAAATGCATGGCTATGTCATGGTCAAATGGAAGATTTTCTATAGCAAACCATTCGAGTAATGGATCATTTTTTCACCAGCTTAGCTGGAACTGTGGGAACCAGTCAGCTTTGCAGAAAGCTGCAGGGGTGCTCTGTCTCTCTCCCAGGTTTCACAAGGAAGCCTTAGAGCAATAGTTTGATTCGGTCCTATTTCCCACCACCGTTTACATCTCTTCTGAGTCCTTCCCATTAAAAAGGTAGAAACTCATACATGGATACTAAGTGTCAGACGCAGGTTTCCATTTGTTTCACTGAGCCCCAGAGCTACCTTGTGAGATTTCTGTCATTCCTGTTTAACACATGAGGAAACTCAGATTCAATAACTTGCCCCAAATCGCACAGGTAGAAAAAAAATGGAACCAGAGTGAGATAAGGTCAGTGGGACAGCAAAACCCGTTCATTCCCTAACCTCTCCATCAGGCAGCTCCCAAGAAAGACATTCTAGATCATTGGAGAAGCCATCTGATCTGACTTTGATAACTGTGCTGTCCTACCACTGAGGCTGGCTCTCTGAATCCCAGGTTTTATTGAGAGGGATCTTGGCGGGCATTTAACCCATCCCCCAGGAGCAGTTCTAGTGACTACATGACTCAGCAAGTCTCAGCTCAGCCCAGTTTCCTCAGGTCTAAAATACCTGGGCTAGATCAGAGGTTCTCGAACCGGTTGGTCCCAGGACCCTTTACACTTAAAATTATTGTGGACCCAAAGAGCTTTTGTTTATGTGAGCTGTATGCATCGATGTTTACAATTTAAAAAATTAAACCAGAAACTTTTATAAGTAACAGTTTCCTCAGCTGTACAGGAAGAGGTTCAATGACTCGACCTCCAAGCCTGGCCCATCACACCCCAAGTACATTCAGCGCCTGCTCTCTCTGCGCCTGTTTCTTCACCTGCAAAAAGGGGCTATGTTCCCGTACAGGGTCGCGTGAGGGCCACACGGGGTCGTGTGAGGGCCAACGTTTCCTGGCACCCATGGCACTTGCCCGAATACCGGAAGAGTAAACCTCGGTCGTTGCCCGGAGCTGAGCGACACGATCCATGAGCCCCACAGCGCAAAGCACGGGGAGGAAGGAGCGAGGGACCCTCGGACGATAGGCGTTCATGTGCCTGGTACCCTGAAAGCGCGACCCAACCTGCCCCATCGTCCTTCCCCGAGCGGAGCCGCGGAGCACAGCCCCGGCCCTGCGTGTTCCGTGCAGCGGGCGGGAGGGACGGAGCCGGCCCTGGACCCGCCTCCCCGCGCCGGTC